GCACACGCACACGCACACGCACACGCACACGCACACGCACACTCACACTCACACGCACACGCACACGCACACGCACACGCATACGCATACACATACACATACACATACACATACATATATATATATACATATATATATATATATTATGATCCTGGGTCGAGGGTTTAAGGCCACCCTCCCGCAGATGGGATGGAACCAAGGGACGGGCACCCAGGATGGGGGCGGGGGACAACGACGGCGATGCCGACGCCGCCGCAGACGCCGACGACGGCGATGACGTCGTTGCCGACGACGACGACGCCGACGCCAACGCGGCCGCCGACGCCGACGCGGACGCGGCCGCCGACGCCGCCGACGCCGACGACGACGACGCCGACGCCGACGCCGACGCCGACGGACGACGCCGACGGACGACAACGACGACGACGATGACGACGAGGACGGCGACGACGACGACGACGACGACGACGACAACCCACCCCACACCCACCCTCCACCACGCCACGTCCACAGGGCCACGACCACAGGGGGGGTGGAGGGAGCGGTCTCACTCGCGAGTCGATCTCATATGCGTTGGGGGGGAGGGGGTGGGCAACCCTGAATCACATATTTCGATCTGGCCGATCCGACTCGATCTTGGTTCCGGTTGGCCCGACCCGACTCGATCGGCCGGCCCGACCCGATTGGATTCTGGTATTCTGGCGATCCGATGCGGTCCGATGCTTGCTTGGCGTTGCTGTGCAGCCTGGCGCGGCCGCTCCGATTCGATCTCGTGTGCGCGCCGATGCGGCCCGACCCGTCGCACAGTTCGATGCGATCCGGTTTCCCAACTTGGTACTGGCTGATCATGCCCCTGATCGGAACGATCGGAATGGGTACCAAAAGCATAGGCACAAAGTCCGACAGCAGTTCCTGTTCATTCTGAGCGGGACTCTCGGACTCGCTGTCGGCGTCCCCGCGGATGCTGTCCGCCTGAGACAGAGGGCCGCCTGCCCAAGGCGGCCGCTGTCGGTTTTGGACGACATTTGCTGTTGGGCATGGGACCCATTTTTCCTTACCCACTTCGATCGGGTATGGCCAGGACCCCAGGTAAGGGGACCCGGTTAGTGGTAGGGCCCCGGAGCCTTTGAATTGGACAAAATCGCTAAACCAGGTTTGCCATTGCTGTTTTTTTTCCGGGTGACGGCAGTTACGGTTAGTGGGAATGGGACGGGGGGGCGCTCGCGTTACAGCTCACTAAACCAGGTTCCACTAAACTCGGTTCTGCCAACGCCCGACTCGATCGTCCAAACCTGGTCGCGCACCAGGATCGAAGTGCCCCCGGGCCCACGGTGCCCGGGCCCAAGGTGCCCCCTCTGGGCCTCCAGACTCGAGGCCCAGAGAGCCCCCAGGGGCTCCAAGATGGAGCGAAGCGCGGGGGGCACCTTGTGGCAGGGGGCCTTGCAGCACCCCCCCGGACACCTGGATCTCGGTTGATGGGCCTGCTTTCCACCACCACCACCAGAAGTTGGAGGGGGGAAGGAGGAGGAGGACGAGGAGGAGGAGGAAGACGAGGAGGAGAAGGAGAAGGAGAAGGAGGATGATGATGAGGAGGAGGAGGAGGAGGAGGAGGAGGAGGAGGAGGACCCCCTCCCCCTCCAACTTACGGTGGTGGGTGTGGAAAACAGGTCCTTCATCGGTGAGGCCACACTCCGCCAGACCTCCCGGGAGCTCACGCGACCGGTAGCAGTTGCGCAGCTCGCTCCGCGCAGGGAGGTTGAGGCCTCGCTCCGTGTGCGCGGGAGCTCGCTCCGCCGAGCATCCCAGTAGCTCACGAAAGAGGTGCCAGTTGCGCAGGCATCGGGGAAGCGTAACACCTCGCCAGAACTCGGGTCTGCCTGCGTTTCCTGACGAGCGCGTCCTGGGTTTTGACGGCCCGGTCCTCGTGGGATGTCTGCAGCAGGAGCCCGCGTCACATTTCAGACTGGGCCTCGTCATTTTCATGATGGCCCCGTCAGGCCAACCCGAGGTCCCCCGAGTTTACCAGCCTCGAACTTTTCCCTATCCCTAAGATTGACACGCCAAAAGGCGATGACAGTCTTGGGGATCCGCCCTCAAAAACTAAGGGAATCCCTAAGATTGGCATCGTGAAGGAGATGCCCAGCACAGGGATAGGGATATGTTCCAGGCTGGTAACGAGTCTCCCTGGCAAGGGCGCCGAGGGAGCCGCGCCTCGCGCCGCGCGGTCCGGGCCGCAGAAGAGCGCCACTGCTTTCCGGGGGCGGCGGCGCGGGGGGGAGGGACGGTGGCGCGCTTCGCGGGGCGATGGGGGCGAATGAGAAGGGGAGTGGAGAGCAGAGGGGGGTAAGGAGGAGGAGGAGGAGGAGGAGGAGGAGGAGGAGGAGGCAGAGGGGGTAAGGAGGAGGAGGAGGAGGAGGAGGAGGAGGAGGAGGAGGAAGGAGGAAGGGCGGACGAGGTGGACAAGGAGGACGGCGGCCGCGGCTACGGCGCACCAGCCCAGGTACTTGTTCTCGGTGGGGCCCGAGTGCCCTCATCAGGACTACCAGGCCGCGAGGTTCGTGCCCAACGGCATACAAGGATCGAGGGGGAGGGAGGGGGAGTATGAGGATGAGGGCGACGAAGGACGAATAACGAAAAAGGGAGGAGTGGGGGGGAAGGATGAGGGAGAAGGGGAGGATCAGGAGGAGGGAGGAGGAGCAGGAGGATCATGGGGGAGGAGGAGGGAGGAGTGAGGAGGAGGGGGGAGGCGGAGTAAGAAGGGATGATGCAGATGAGGGCGGGTATGATGAGGAACGCTGATGATGGCGGTGATGATGATGATGATGATGATGATGATGATGATGATGATGATGATGATGATGATGATGATGATGATGGTGGTGGTGGTGGTGGTGGTGGTGGTGATGATGATGATGATGATGCTGCTGCTGCTGCTGATGATGATGATGATGATGATGATGCTGATGATGATGATGATGATGATGATGCTGATGATGATGATGATGGTACTGGTGATGATGATGATGGTACTGGTGATGATAGTGATGGCGATGGTGATGGTGATGGTGATGATGATATTTATGCTGATGCTGATGCTGCTGCTCGTATCGATGAATGTTGATGCTCATGATGATTACGATGATGACGCTGCTGCTGATGATGATGACCACGCTGGTGATGGTGATAGTAGTGATGATGCTGCTGACGATACTTGTGATGATGATGCTGATGCTGAATGTGATGATGCTTCGATGCTGATGATGATCATACTGACGAGTGTGAGGGTGATGATGAGGATGGAACTGCTACTGATGCTGATGTTCATGATGGTGATGTTGATGAATGCGGGATGGTGATGATGCTTGTTATGATGCTCACAATGACGATGGTGATGGTGATGGCGATGCTGATGCTGCTGATGCTGATGGTAATGATGATAATGATGATGATGATGATGATGATGATGATGATGATGATGCTGATGCTGATGCTGATGCTGATGATGATGATGATGATGCTGATGCTGAGGTTGATGATGAATGTGATGATGGTGATCGGGATGTGCTGATGAAGCTTATGCTGATGAGTATGCTGATGGGCATGATGATGGTGATGATGATGGTGACGACGATGATGATGATGATGTTGCCGCTGACGATGGTGACGATGGTGCTGATGACGATGACGACGACTATGCTGATGATGGTGCCGATTATGGTGATGTTAGTTTTGATGATGATGTCGATGATCATGCGTGATGCTGCTGATTATAACGATGATCCAGCGGATGCTGCTGATGATGCTGCTGATGATGATGAGGAGAAGAAGGAGGATACTTAGGCGGAGGAGGAGGATGTAGATGATGACGAGGACGAGGGAATAACAAACAACGATGGAAGGACGGAATGAAGAGAGGAGGCAGACAGAGTTTATGGACGAGGAGGGTGACGTCAAGGAAAATGGTGATGGGGAGGATGAGGGGGAGGGTGGATGAGGAGCATGGGGAAGACGATGAGGAGGAGTAGGAGGAGGAGGAGGAGGAGGAGAGGGAGGAAAGGAGGAGGAGGAGAGGAGGGAGGAGGAGGAGGAAGAAGGAAACATAACACGGAACACGAGTGAGGCCGTGACGTCTTCTCGCCTCTGGAGGGCCTCTGGGGGCGCCCCTCGCCGGTCCGCGTGTCTGGACTCGGAGCCACGCTGCAGGACCTGCCCTCCTCCTCCTCCTCCTCCTCCTCCCTCCTCTCCTCCTCCTCCTCCTCCTCCTCCTCCTCCTCCTCCTCCTCTCCCCCTCCTCCTCCTCGTCCTCCTCCTCCTCCTTCTCCTCTCCTCCTCCTCCTCCTCCTCCTCCTCCTCCTCCTCCTCCTCCTCCTCCTCTCTCCTCCTCCCCGGCCGCTGCATGGAGTGCAGGGTGCGCGCCCTGCGCGTCGGCCGCAGTTGGGCGCAGGTGCCCATACCGCTACCCTCCCTTTGTTTTCATTTTTGTCTGGGCCTCCTGGGAGGCCCTCGCCGCCACCCCTGGACTCGCCTCGGAGTCCTGGTCAGAACGCACCCCGGGATAGGTCCGGGGAGTAGCGGTATCCGCACCTTCGGTTTCCCCCGGATGGGGGAGAGGGATGGGGGCCATCGGGCCATGCTCGGGGGCCCCAAAACGGTGTGGTGACCACACCGTGCGGTGAGTCTGTGGGGATTCGGGGTCACCGCACGGTTTTGGGACTCGGGTCGTTCTCCGAGGACGTCTCGGGCGATAGGGGCATCCGAGGTCCCAAAACCGTGCGTTGACGGACCGTGCGGTGAGGTCTTGGGGGATTTCGAGGTCACCGCACGGTCTGTCACCGCACCGTTTCGGGACTCCCAACATGCGCTCGGCCTGGGCACGAGGGATTGGGGCTGGGCGGGTGGAGAGGGGAGCGGACGAGAGGGGAGGGGCGGAGTTTGAGCGGGCGGGGGGGGGACAAGAGCTGGGCCACCCCGAGGTCAAGGGAGGAAGAACCACCCGGACCGGGCAAATTGGCGCTGGCTGCACGGCCCTGGGCGTTTACTCGAAGCCCTGCCCTGTTCGATTCCTGTGTTGGGTGCGTTTACTAAACGGCTTCGCTTGTCGGGGCCCTCGGGGAGGCGGAGGAGGAGGAGGAGGAGGAGGAGGAGGAGGAGGAGGAGGAGGAGGAGGATGAGGGAGGAGGAGGAGGAGGAGGAGGAGGGGGAGGAGGGGGAGGAGGAGGGGCGGAGGAGGGGCGCGAAGACAACCGCGCTTCGGGCATCGCGGCTCGGGTGGGAGAGGCGCCCTTCTCCGGGGTGGCGGCACGAGGGCGCGTCGTGCACGTGCCGGGGCGCGGGGCGAGGAGGCAGGTGGCCCAGCAGAGGATCGGGAGGAGCGGGAGCTGTGATCCTCCTCCCCCTCCTCCTGCTCGATCCTCCCTCCTCCTCGATCCTCCTCCTCCTCCTCCTCCTCCTCCTCCTAGATCCTCCTCCTTGATCCTCCTCCTCCTCCTGCTCCTCCTCCTCCTACGCTTCCTGCTCCTCCTCCTCCTCCTCGATCCTCCCCCCTCCTGGATCCTGCTCCTCCCGGATCTTGCCTGCCTGATCGGCTGCACTCTGAGCACGGGGGCGCAGAAGTCGCAGCGGGACCTCACCCATTCCCCCAGGCCCATCCCGGGCGACGTGGGGGGCGGCCCCTCGCGAGAGCTCTCTGCTGGAGGTGGGTGCCGGCCTGAGCTCTCCGTTCCGTCCCGTGGCCGGTCTTGCAAGCCCTGCACTCTTCTGCCATGTCGCCCACGAGCGAACCCCAGCACTGTAGCGCTGATGATTCGCTCTCCGCCCTTCTCGCACGGCCTGGTCCCAGCGCGGCGGCTGGCACTGGTTGGGCTCTTGCTCCGCCTTCCCCATCTCGCTCAGTGGCATTAAAAAGTTGCTGCCCCTTCTCGGCGTTCTCGCACGCGCTGCTCCCCACGCCGTAGCTGATCTCGCAGCGTAGCGACAGAGACTGCGGCCACTTCTCACCCGTTCTCGCACGTGCTGCTCCCCGCACTGTGTCCGACGACCTGGGGCGCCAGCTTCGCCTCCCGCTTCTCGCAGAGTGGTGCCAGAGATCCTCCTGTCAGGATCTGCGCCCCTCCCGCGCGCCCTGGCTCCGGCGCTGCGGCTGACGTCGGGCTCTGGCCTCGCCTTGCCCACCTCGCTGCGCAGCGTCGGAGATGGTGCGGCCCCTGCGCAGTACTCCGGCACGGCGCTGCTCCCAGCGCTGCAGCTGCTGACGTCAGGCTGCGGCTCCGCCTCCGCTTCTCGCCCCGTAGCGACAGGGACTGCCGACATTTGACGCTCTTCTCGCACGCACTGCTCCCAGCACCGTTTCTGACGACCTCGGGCTCCAGCTTCGCCTCCCGCTTCTCGCAGAGTGGTGCCAGGGCCGTCTGCCGCTGTTTCCCTCTCTCGCACGCCCTGATCCCAGCGGTGTAGCTGATAGACCTCGGGCTCGTGCTTCGCCTGTTGCCCTTCTCGGGCACTCTGAATCCAGCGCGGTAGCGGACATCGGATCCAGCTTCGCCTCCCCCATCTCGTTGAGCAGTAGCTCGAATTTTCTCGCACGCGCAGCGCCGTGGACGACCTCGGGCTCTGGCTTCGCCTCCAGCTTCTCGCAGGAGCTGGTGCCAGTGCCGCCTGGCATTCTCCGCCCTGCTCGCGTGCCCTGGCCCAGCGCTGTAGCTGGTGACACCGGGCTCTGCCGTCGCTTTCCATCGCGCCGAGTAGCGACAGAGACTGCTGCCAAGTCTCGGCCTCCTCGCCCGCACGAGCTGGCTCCGGCCCTGGAGCTGATGGCACTGGCCCGCGCGGGCTCTCTCGTGACTGGCTTGGGGGCTCCTCTGCTCGCCAGCGGCAGCCGCTCTCGCTGCCTGCACTCGTGCGGCAGCGCCGCAGGGGTTGGCGCTGCCGCTCGGCAGGGCGACGAGGGGAGGCGGGAGATGTGGACGCGGAGGAGTGCGAGGAGGGGGGCGGGGGATGGGCACTCTCCGTGGCGCCCCCCGCGCGCGCGCGCGCCTGATCTCAGCACTGTCGCTGGTGCTGTGGGGCGCCGCTTCTCTTCACGGGGGGCCCTCGAGCGTGAGGCCCTTCCGAAATCGGCTCGCTCGGAGCGCCCGCGCGCTCTCCCCGTGCGGGGGGCAGGCCGCTCGGACGCGACGTGGTTGTGAACGGGGGGAGGAAGGGGAAGAGGAGGAGGAGGAGGAGGAGGAGGAGGAGGAGGAGGAGGAGGAGGAGGAGGAAGGAGAGAGGAGGAGGAGGAGGAGGAGGAGGAGGAGAGGAGGAGGAGGCAGAGGAGGAGGGAGAGGAGGGAGGGAGGAGAGGGAGGAGGAGGAGGAGGAGGAGGAGGAGGAGGAGGAGGAGGAGGAGGAGGAGGAGGAGGGGGAGGAGGAGGAGGAGGAGGAGGAGGAGGAGGAGGAGGAGGAGGAGGAGGGTCCTAAGGGTCCTGATGATACGGCCCATGTCTGTGAGCCCTGGCACGCCGGCCACGCCGCCTCTGCCCTTGCCGAAGAAACGGAGGCCGAGCCCCCATGGGCCCAGCCGGTGCGATGAGATTATGGGCTGCTCGGGCCTACGCCGAGAAGCCATGCTGAGCCCATGCCCAGCGAGCAGAACGAGGGAATCCAGCGTAGCGACAGTGCGCCAGCACAGCGGCCGCAGGCGAGGCGAGTCCAGTCGTGGCGACGCAAGAGACCCAGAGGCCACCCAATGGCAGCCGCCGCAAACTTCGAGGCAGAGCCCTCCGTTACGACACGCGCGCACACGCACAGAGCCGCGCTCTCAGCTCGCGCCCAGGCGTCCCGCGACTGGGACTCCCAAGCGCTCGGCTGCATGTCGAAGCGCAGAAGCCTTGATCTCCTGGGACTCGCCGCTGTCCAGGAAACCGAGCACCTGCGCCATCATGCTAATGAGCTGCTCCTCTGTCATTGCCTCGGGCGCCTCCTCTTTCTCCTTGGCCTTCGCCTTGTGGGTGAGGCCCACCGCCAGCTTCCGATGCGCCCCTGAGGCCCTTGCCCTTCTTGTCCCTCTTCTCCGTGCTCTTCTCGTCCTGGAGCTCCCCAGCCCACGCCCTGATCGCAGCGCTCTTAAGGCGCAGCTGCTTCTCGAGCTCGAGCAGGTCGGCATCGCCCTCAGGCACTCCGTCCTGAGTGGGTAAGCTCACCTCCTCGCCGCCTGTGTAGTACTTCTCGCTGCACTGCACTACGGGCCAGCTCCGCTGTAGACCAGGTCGCTGCTCATCTCCGTGCTGTGCAACCGCGTGTCCAAGTCGCTCGTTTGGTCTGCCTGCTGTATCTTCATGTGGTACTCCAGGCGCCGGATCGTCTGCTGATCCCCCAAGCGTTCCGCCGCCTGGAGGTCCTGCAGCAGGAGAGCAAAACCCAGGGCGCCATCGCCGAGCAGCTCTTGCACTCCTGCCTGAAACCGGAGTTCGTGAAGCGGCAGCTCGGTCGCAGGCACTTCCACTTCGGGACCACCTGGTACTTCATCTCCATCTCGTTGGCGATCACCTTGCTGCTCTTGCGTGGCGGCGAGCCGCAGACCTGGTCCTCCTCCAACTTGGTCTGCGTCATGCTACTCTCCTCGCAGCACCTCTGTCTTGCCTTCTTCAACTCGTCGAAGGCTCTCCTGGCCGTCTCTCGCTTGGCTGCCGCTCGACGCCAGTTCTCCACCAGCGTCTCGGGCACCCGCTTGCGTCTGGGCGGCGTCCGCAGCCTGGTCGCGCGGCTTGCTCTGACCGCTGCCGCGAGCTTTACCTCCTGAATGGAGTCCTGCTGCCGACTGTTCAGCAGCGTGTATTCCATCCCGTAGCCGATGCTCTTGTGGTCGCCCTGCATCCTCGCAAACGGCCACCTTCCATTTGAGCTCCTGCTGGGCCCCGACCTCGAGGCCACGAAGCAGGCGCCCGAACACAGCGCCCGAATCGGGCGCGATCGCCAAGCTGTAGGAGACGTGCAGCTCAACCTCCTTCTCCGTTATCAGCGACACTCCATCGTGGCTTCCCCGCGCTGCGCCCCCTCCACTTGCGCGCGGGGATGGCCCTCTCGGGCCAGAAGGGACTTGCGCTAAAATGGCTTGAACCAGAATGACTACTACTACGGAGGAGGAGGAGGAGGAGAAGGAGGAGGAGGAGGAGGAAGGAGGAGGAGGAGAAGGAGGAGGAGGAGGAGGAGAAGAGATGGAGGAGGAGGAGGAGGAGGAGAAGAAGAGAAGGAGGCAAGGACTGAGGAGGAGGAGGAAGAAGAGGAGGCAGAGAGTGGGAGGAGGAAGCTAGGAGGAAGAGGAGGAGGGTGGAGGAGGAGGAGGAGGAGGAGGAGGAGGAGGTTGAGGATGAGGATGAGGCGGAACAAGAGAATGATGAGGAGGCGGAGGATGATGAGGTGCAGGAGGAGGAACTGGGAGAAGGTGATGAGGAGGGGGAGGGGGAGGAGGAGGAGGCGGTGCGGCGGCGGAGGAGGAGGGGAGAAGGAGCGGCTGCAGGTAGGGGCAGGGCGGAAAGGGATGGATTCGAAGGAGCTTGTTGAGAGGGGAGTGGGGCTTCTCCTATACGTCCTCTCCTCCTCCTCCTTCCTCCTCCTCCACCTCCTCCTTCCTTCTCCCTCCTCCTGCCTCCTCCTCCTCCTCCTTCTCTACCCTACTCCTCCTCCTAATCCTCTCCTCCTCCTTATCCTCCTCCTCCTCCTCCATCAGTTACTGTGCCTCCTCCTTCTCCATCTCTGATCCTCTTCCTCATCCTCCTATCCTCCTCCTTCTCCTCTTCCTCCTCCTCCTTCTCCTCCTCCTCCTCCTCCTCCTCCTCCTCCTCCTCCTCCTCCTCCTCCTCCCCCCACGTCCACTGCGCGTCCGAGCCGCCCAAGTTTGGAAAAATCGGATGGAGGTCATCATGACGGATGTGACGAGTGCGACGAGGGCCGTTCTGCAGGAAAAGGGTGCTGCACAGGGGGGCGGGAAAAGAGCGGACCAGCAGGAGGAGGACAGCCACGAGGATCAGGAGGGCCATGCACGGAAGAGAAGGAGCGAGGGGTTAAGGAGCATCACCAGAATGGTCGGCGGGAGGATGTGGAGGAGAAGGTTGCAGCCTGCAGCCCACACTCGTGCGGCCCGGCTCGTTTCACGCAGCAGCCGCGGGAGGAGCCCCAGGCCTGCCGGCGCGCACGCCGCTGCGCGGGACCCCTTCTGCTGCCCCCGTTTCCGTGTGACGGGGCGGGGGCACAGTAGAGGCTGCGTTTTGCGACCTTTCACGGCAGTGCGATGAGACTCGCAGAGCCAGCCACCCGCGTGGGATGTGTGGTGCTTGTCGGAGGGCGTACTTCGTTGCCGGAGAAGAGATTGCCCCCCCGCCCCGTGTGACGGCGACGGTGGTCCTGGGCACGCGATCCCACGGACGGGTATCTTCCGCGCGGCGTGGCGAGCGTCACCGGCCTCGCCCGCCACGGGAGGCAGAGGCCAAAGGCGGGACCCGGAGTGGAGGGAGAGGCGGACCGGCAGAACGAGAAGGGGGGGCACGGAGGAGGAGAACAAGACGGACACCGAGGAGGACGACATGGAGGGTGGGGAGGAGGGAGGGGGATGGAGGATGGAGGATGGAGGAAGGAGGAAGGAGGAAGGAGGGAGGAGGGAGGAGGGAGGAGGGAGGAGGGAGGAGGGAGGAGGGGGAGGAGGGAGGAGGGAGGAGGAGGAGGGAGAATGGGGAGGGGGGGAGGGAGGAGGGGGAGGAGGGGGAGGAGGGAGGAGGGAGGGAGGAGGAGGAGGTGGAGGAGGAGGAGGAGGAGGAGGAGGAGGCGCAGGAGGATGATGATGATGAGGAGGGCGAGGAAGCCAAGGAGGGCGAGGAGGAGCATGAAGAGGGCCCCCCCCAGTCGTGGCCGCGCTCGGCCCTGGCAACGAGCTCTTCCAGAAGCACCTGCAGGTCGCCGACCACGGCGGGGCCAGCGGCGCAGCAGCGGGCCCGGCCGAAGGCGCGCCCGACCGTCCGCGCGTGCGCACGCGACCCTTCCTCCTCCTCCTCCTCCTCCTCCTCCTCCTCCTCCCCCTCTTCCTCCTTCCTCTCCTCCTCCTCCTTCCTCCTCCTCTCCCTCCTCCTCCTCATCCCCCTCCCTCCATCCTCCATGCTCCATCCTCCATCCTCCATCCTCCATCGTCCCTCCTTCATCCTCCATCCTCCATCCTCCTCCTTCCTCCATCATCCTCCCTCCTCGCTACTCCTCCTCATCCTCCTCCTCCTGCTTGGCTGAGTCGGCTCGGCCAAGCCAGAACCCGACGCGCCCGGGTCGCGGGCAGGCACACGACCATGACAACACGCCTGCAGCCGCCACCGCGCAACGTGGAGCGGACATTCTCCGGGCGGGTTCGCGAGCGTGAGACGTTCCACAGAATACGCACGCTATGTTTCAGCGAGCGAAGGACGGTATGAAATAAACTTTTTCGCCGTCGGGGACACCTGCCCCAGGGCGGCTGGAAAGTTTGTACCCCTACGGTGCCACCCACCGTAAGGGTATAAGCTTTCCAGCCGCCCTGGGGCAGGCGCCCCCGACGGCGAAAAAGTTGATGTTATACCGTTCTCCGCGCGTCAATTCGCTGTCCCTGCGGGTGTCGGGCCTCGTTTTTTTGGCCCGGTCGCTGCCCCTCCGCCGCCGTGTCTTCCGTCCGGCCCGCGCTCGTGCGCCTCTGTCGGGCCCTCGTCCGGTCGTGTGCTGCCCGGGAGCTGGCGCTCGGCTCCTGCCCCACGCCCAACACAGCAGGTGTGGGGCGATGGCCTCCATGCCTCAGCGCACATACGCCCATCAGACATCTTAAGAACGAGCAGCAACTCTCGTGGACTCCAAATGGCGCTGAAGAGAAGCAAGGACCGGGCCTGGGCCCTGGGCTTGTCTTGGAACTCTTGCTTCGAAGCATGTTCGTGCATCTGTACCTGGCGTACTGGATGAGAAGACGTCTGCAGCGACATCCATCTTTCTTGGCGTACATTTTTCTAAACTCTAAGCAGGGGTGTACGTTTTGCTCCCATGGGATCTGCTCGCAGCGTGGAATCAAGTTGACGAGATCAGTATCCACGATTAGTTGTATGGCTCAGCCTGAACCAAACTACGGCATAGCAGGCAGAAGCTGGTCTCTGCCTGGGCCATGGGCGCTGTGAGCCCCCGCACTGAACCAACGGCTGTAGACGGCGGGCTGTTCACCTGATGTTTGCCCCGCCCCCCCCACACACGTTTTCGCGGCCGGCGTGCACGCTACGAGTGCGCATGATGCATGATGTTTGCTCCACCGCGTTTCCGCGGCTGGCGTGCAGGCTACGAATGCGCATACTTTCAAAGCAAGTGCCATGGATGGGACAATAATCGCCCCCCCCCTTGACTCCGCCGGAGGGGTTGGGTACGCGCTGTCGGCGCGGGTGGAGGGGGGGGGGGTGGAGGAAGAGGCGTACCACATCCCTCCTTCTCGTTTCTTCCCGCTTCTCCCTCCTATCCTTTTCCTTCATCTGCCCTCCTGTTCCCTCCCTCTCCGCCCATCGGAGGGTGCGCCGAGCGGCTATTCTGTCGAATCCCCCAGGCACCACCACTCCGACGAGTCCCGCTCAGTCCGAGAATGACAAAACCCGGATGCTGGAGGCGAAGGAGCTCTCCCCCGCCACGTGGGGGAGCACCGCAAGGTGCATATCTTGCTGCTGCTGCTGCTGCTGCTGCTGTTGCTGCTGCTCCTTCTTGCCCTGCCGTCGGCGGCGTCGGTGGCGTGGTCAGCCTAAGGCCAGCCTCCCCCCTTGTCTTCCGCTTCTGCCTGCTCCTCCCCGAAAGGGTGAGAACCCTAAACTCGAACAACACCCAGTGCAGAATCCATGATGTTGGCCCCTCGGAGCCCTCTTGGTGGTTCTCTTGGAGCCCTCTTGGGGCGTCTTGGGGGCCCCCTGGGCCATCCGGAGGCCATCTTGGGTGCATTGGAGCGATCTTTTGATGACTCGGGGCCCTCTTGGATGGTCCTGGGTGCCTCTTGGGGCCCTCTTGTTTCTTGGGGCCCTCTTGCCTTTGAAATATCATGCGACCTACCCCCAGGAGCGCCCGGCCGCGCCCGAGAGCCCCCAGCTGAGTCCGGATCTTCGAGCAGTGGATCCCTCAACGAGCATATGCCGTCCGCAACGCAGGGAACTCGGAAGGACTCGCGGACACTCGCTTCGTGCCTCGAGGCACGGCGGCTGATTCGGGTTCTGTGAAGAGGAGGAGGGGGGTAGGGGCGGGCGGCCTGGAGAAGGGTAGGAGGCAGAGGATAAGTGAGGGGCAGGAGGTCATCTTGATGATGGGGGATGTACACATATGTATATTGAGAAAGAGGGGCAGGGAGAAAGGGAGAACGAGAGAGAGAGAGGGATGTATTCACTTTCACATATATACATGCGTACATACAGACATACAGACAGACCGACAGACAAACAGACATACTGAGAGAGAGAGAGAAAGCCAAACAACAAATTTCGAGCGAGAGAAGTATAGATAGAGAGAGGGAGAGAACAACAAAACTGAGGCAGACAGGAAATCAAGGGAGGAGGAGGGTGGAACATAGTTTTGGGGATGAGGGATGAGCGGAAAAGGGATGACGAGGAAGAGGAGGGTCAGGAGGATGAGCAGGAAGCAGGAGCATGAAGGAGTGAAGATAACGAGAGGAGTATGAGCATAATGATTGATGAGGGAGGGGGAGGAAGAGGAGGGAGCAGGACAGTGATGTGGATGCAGATGCATTGATGGATGTAATAGGGAGGGGGTGGAGAGATTGGAGGTGGGATGGGGTGGGGGAGTGAGATGAAAGGAGAAGGGGGAAGGATGATGATGAGGAGGGGAGGGATGATGATGACGACGACGATGCTGATGACGATGACGATGATGATGACGATGATGACGATGATGATGATGCTGATGATGATGATGCTGATGATGATGATGATGCTGATGATGATGATGAATAGGAGGAGGAGGAGGAGGAGGAGGAGGAGGAGGAGGAGGAGGAGGAGGAGGAGGAGGAAGGCCAGAGTACATCCAGGATACATCAATGATGCTGATCCTTGTATCTGTTTGAAGTTCTTCAGTTTCAGGATCGTGGACGATACGGAAGTCTCAAGCACGACGCCTAGAATGGCGTACGGGCATGTCATGTGGTGCGACAGTGGAAGGTCTGGTTGTTTACAAAACGAGCAGGATGGAGGAAAAAGACCAGGAGGAGGAATTCAAGAAGGGCATCGAGAAGAGGGAGAAAGAGGGATAGAGAGAGAGAGAGAGCGAGCGAGAGAGAGAGAGAGAGCGAGAGAAAGCTGGGAGGAGAAGCCAGAGGAGGTGTTTTGAGTGAGAGGAGTGTAGGACACCGGGAAGGGGGGCAGGCGAAGTATGCGGACGACGACGATGATCTCGGCCTCTCTTCCAGCCCCCCCTCCCCCTTCCCCAGACCCCCGACGACGTGCTTCTTCCACCACGTCGACCCCCACCCAGAGGCCCCTTCTCCCGGACCGGCTTCTCGTCCAGAGCCGTTTTTTTTTGGGGGGATATTTCTATATATAAATAAAGAAAATTATTATTATTATTATTATTATTATCATATTATGATTATCATTATCAGTATTACTACTACTATTATTATTATTAGTAATACTATTCTTATTCTTATTTTTATTGTGATTATGCTTATGATTATGATTAGGATTATTATTATTCTTATTATTGTTATCATTATTATTGTTCTTATTCTTATTATTACTATTATTATTATTACTACTATTAATATTATTATAATATGTTTTTTTTGGTTTTGTCAAGCGGGCGGGGGGCCGAACATTGCGAAAGCTTCCCGCGAAAAGCCTCCCGCCGTGATTTTGCCCAGCGCGAGGAGGGCGCCAAGCTGTGGATCGCCGGCGGCCCGGGCAGCGTCCTGGCGGCCTGGTACGGCGACGCGGCGAGGCCCCGCGCGGCCGGCCCGCACGCGCACCGCCGGTGGTGCCCCCTCTCGTCCTCCTCTGTCCTCCTCTGTCGTCCTCTGCCTCCTCGTCCTCCTCGTCCTCCTCTCTCCCCCTCTGCCCCCTCCTCCTCGTCCCGCTCCTCCACGTCCCTCCCTCGCCCCTCCCTCGCCCCTCCCTCCCTCGCTCCTCCTCGTCCCTCTCCTCCTCGTCCCTCTCCTCCTCGTCGCCGTGCTCCTCGTCCTGCTGCTGCTGCTGCCGCTCCTCCCCCGAGATCCGACGTCGCGAAGCAAATGCAACACTGCGACAAATCACGGCCAGGACCCTAGACCCCATCTTTCTGCGCTATTCCTCAATCAGTGCTTGCACTGGAGGGGTCCTAGCGGAGATTGAAAGATTTGGCGAGAGTTCCAGGCCGATTTTGGTAGGCGGCCGGGTTCCTGGGTTTCCTGTTCCAGGTTCCCGGGTTCCCGGTTGTTGTTGGTTCCAGACCGATCTCGGTGGGCGGCTGGGTTCCCAGGTTTCCGGGTTCCCGGGTTCTTGGTCGATCTTCTCATCGATCAGTTTCACCATCGATCTCATTCTTTTGATATCACAATCGATCCCAATACAGGTCGCACGAGCGATCTCACGATCGATCTCACGATCGGTATCACAGGATTTCACGATGGGCCTCACGATCGACCTTGCTATCGATCCCACGATCGTTGCCACTATCGATCTCACAATCGATCTCAATATTCGTATCACAGGTTTTCAAACCATCCACTGATTGGGGTTCTTCTCTGGTGTAGTTTGTTTTGCGAGCCCGATCGATTTGGTGATGGTCCCAGGTCGGGAGACCGGGCGAAAGCGCCCGGCGTGAAAAGTTGCAGCGCCCAGATCTCCAGTCCCTCGTCCTCCTCTCCCTCTGCCTCCTGCTGGTCCACCTCCCTGTCTCGGAGGTTGATAGACCTCCTACCCTGACGCGTCGATTAGCGAATCGGCCGTTTTCGGTTCGCGAGAGGGCGTCGCGGCCGTCATGTTTGCGGGTCCAGGTCCGTCGGTTTCGGTCTTAGGCCGTTTTCACTGAATGGAGGTTTACTATGAAGGGAGGTTTGTCCACCGCCGATTGCAGCGCCCAGATCTCCAGTCCCTCGTCCTCCTCCCCCTCTGCCTCCTGCTGCTCCATCTCCCCGTCGTGCTCCCAATCCCGCTCCATCCTGGTTCTGGACGCCCGAAATGGGCACGGAAAGAATGGGTACAATGCCTAACACCCGTTCCTGCTCATTTTGAACAGGATTCGCTGTCCACGCCGCCGCGGCCTGTGTCCATGCGAGACAGAAGGCCGCCTGCCCAACAGCGACCGCTGCTGGTTTGGGACAACATTCGTTGTTGGGCATTGTGCCAATTTTTTCCGTGCCCATTTCTCACCACCCACCAACCCACCCCAACCCAACCCGAAGGCTCAGATTTACCCTCGATTTCCAGTGGCGGGGGGTTGTCGGGAAACATCGAAAAAACACATGTGGAACCCTTACCCCCCCCCAACCCGAAATTCGGGTTTTCGGGTTGGGGTGGGGTGGTCTGGTAGGCAGTCAATTTCGGGCGTCCAAACTCGTGCCCCCTCGATGCCTCCCTGTTGCTGCTGCCCGCGAAGGCCCCCTGGCGGGCACGCCCCCCCCGGGCGTCGGCTCCGCCTGCAGAGACCGGGGGGCGGGGGGGGGGCCACTCTCGTTTGCGGACGGCCCCTCCTCCTCCTCCTCCTCCTCCTCCTCCTCCTCCTCCTCCTCCTCCTCCTCCTCCTCCTCCTCCTCTCCCTCCTCTTCCTCCTCCTCCTTCTCCTCCTCCTCCTCCTCCTCCTCCTCCCCCCCCTCCTCCTCATCCTCCTCCTCCTCCTCCTCCCTTCCTCCCCAGCATACTTCTACTAGGTTTGCGTCGTCCCCCCAGGGGCGACGCGCGCACCGAGAAACCTTGCAGTATATGCGTCGTGGCGGGCGCTTTCGGACCACACCGCTCGGGAAGCGATTTATACTACAAGATTTGTGTATACTAGATGTTCGGGTCGGACGCGCGCCTCCAAGGAGGACATGTAGTGTTAGCATGTCTCTGTGCTTCCCAGCTTCCGTTCGTGGGCAGCCCTTGCTGTTGGGCATCGTGCCTCTTTTCCGTTCCTTCGTCGGGCGACTGGGCGTGGCACATCTACATAAAGAGCAACAGAAGCGCGGCAAGAAGGGCCGTTTTGGCCTCGGCAGAGGAGCCGCCTTTCGGGTCCTTCCTGGGCCTGCTGCTCGGGCGCCGCGTGGTCAATTCTGGGCGCTGCCGGGTCCCGCAGCGCCCTCTGCCGGATTCCAGCTCCCCGCGGCAAGACCGACGGTACTCCAGATTTCGTAATAAAAGGGAGGGGGTCTGGACCCTCCAAGACAAGCCACTTCAGACCCCCCCTCGTGGGAGAACCCTCCCAAACATCGTCCCCAGGACCCCCCCCCAGGCCCTCCAAGATAGCCTGGAAGAGACCCCTCCCCCCCCCCCGAAATGAGACCCCCCTCCCTGTATGACGAAAGCTGGAGTACCCTGCCGCAGCGGTCCCCGCGCGGAGAATTCGGGGGGCCGTCTTCCACGAGTGGGGAGCGGCCGCCCCCTGCCCCGCCCTCTGCGATGTCGTGGCTCGTCCAATCCAGTCGGCTTCCCCCCCAGTTGTCATCGATGATAGGAGGAGGAGGAGGAGGAGGAGGAGGAGGAGGAGGAAGAGGAGGAGGAGGAGGAGGAGGAGGAGGAGGAGGAGGAGGAGGAGGAGGAAGAGCCCGGACCCGAATAACAGCGTGAGGACATGGCCCCTCTGAGGCCCCCGTCTTACCAGGGATCACGAGTCTGGGCTGTTGAGTCTCATAGATCTGCAGAACAGAACCCCTATCCCTACTGATTTGGGCCCTCCTATCTTAGGTCTCCTCCCGCAGGTTTAGGGGTCTATTTACCTAACCGCGAAGACTGATAGGTTTCTGATGGGGTCAAAAGAGAGCATCTGATGACTCCCCAGGGGGGTCTGGGCGGGAGCCGGACAGGCGAGGGCCCGGCTCGTTTTAAGCAAACAGTCACACACTTCGTGCTCTTCGACCTCCCAGAACTCCATTCCCGGGTCACATTTTGGATGCCCGGACCCAACTGTAGGCCACTTCGTGATATTCGACTTCCCAGAACTCCATTCCCGGGCCACATTTTGGATGCCCGGACCCAACTGTAGGCCACTTCGTGCTCTTCGAGTTCCCAGAACTCAATTCCCGGGCTACATTTTGAATGCCCGGAGCCAACTGTAGGCCACTTCGTGGTCTTCGAGTTCCCAGAACTCCATTCCCGGGCACATTTTGAATGCCCGGAGCCAACTGTAGGCCACTTCGTGTTCTTCGAGTTCCCAGAATTCAATTCCCGGGCCACATTTTGAATGCTGAGGCAGGCTGAGGCTGAGGCTGAGGCAGGAGGCTGAGGCTGAGGCAGATGAGGCTGAGGCTGAGGCTGAAGGCTGAGGCCTGAGGCTGAGGCTGAGGCTGAGGCTGAGGCTGATGCTGAGGCTGGCTGAGGCTGAGGCTGAGGCTGAGGCAGGCTGAGGCTGAGGCTGAGGCTGAGGCTGAGGCTGAGGCAGGCTGAGGCTGAGGCTGAGGCTGAGGCTGAGCAGGCTGAGGCTGAGGCAGGCTGAGGCTGAGGCTGAGGCAGGCTGAGCTGAGGCAGGCTGAGGCTGAGGCTGAGGCTGATGCAGGCTGAGGCTGAGGCAGGCTGAGGCTGAGGCCGAGGCTGAGGCTGAGGCTGAAGCAGGCTGAGGCTGAGGCTGAGGCTGAGGCTGAGGCTGAGGCTGAGGCTGAGGCTGAGGCTGAGGCTGATGGCAGGCTGAGGCTGAGGCTGAGGCTGATGCAGGCTGAGGCTGAGGCAGGCTGAGGCTGAGGCTGAAGGCTGACTGAGGCTGAGGCTGAGGCAGGCTGAGGCTGAGGCTGAGGCTGAGGCAGGCTGATGCTGAGGCAGGCTGAGGCTGAGGCTGAGGCTGATGCAGGCTGAGGCTGAGGCAGGCTGAGGCTGAGGCCGAGGCTGAAGGCAGACTGAGGCTGAGGCTGAAGCAGGCTGAGGCTGAGGCTGAGGCAGGCTGAGGCTGAGGCTGAGGCAGGCTGATGCTGAGGCAGGCTGAGGCTGAGGCTGAGGCTGATGCAGGCTGAGGCTGAGGCAGGCTGAGGCTGAGGCCGAGGCTGAAGGCAGACTGAGGCTGAGGCTGAAGCAGACTGAGGCTGAGGCTGAGGCAGGCTGAGGCTGAGGCTGAGCAGGCTGATGCTGAGGCAGGCTGAGGCTGAGGCTGAGGCTGATGCAGGCTGAGGCTGAGGCAGGCTGAGGCTGAGGCCGAGGCTGAAGGCAGACTGAGGCTGAGGCTGAAGCAGGCTGAGGCTGAGGCTGAGGCAGGCTGAGGCTGAGGCTGAGGCAGGCTGATGCTGAGGCAGGCTGAGGCTGAGGCTGAGGCTGATGCAGGCTGAGGCTGAGGCAGGCTGAGGCTGAGGCCGAGGCTGAAGGCAGACTGAGGCTGAGGCTGAAGCAGGCTGAGGCTGAGGCTGAGGCAGGCTGAGGCTGAGGCTGAGGCAGGCTGATGCTGAGGCAGGCTGAGGCTGAGGCTGAGGCTGATGCAGGCTGAGGCTGAGGCAGGCTGAGGCTGAGGCCGAGGCTGAAGGCAGACTGAGGCTGAGGCTGAAGCAGGCTGAGGCTGAGGCTGAGGCAGGCTGAGGCTGAGGCAGGCTGAGGCTGAGGCTGAGGCAGGCTGAGGCTGAGGCTGTGACTGCGACTGCCGTTGCCACTGCGACTGTCATCGCGAATGCGACTACGACTGCGAGAACAGCAGAATTCTACAACTGGATTATCATCCGAATCTTAAGGGGAATGCTTCCAGATATGCTCCTACACATCGCTGTTAGGTTGCTTTGCCGGGATAATTTTGCTTATCATAACGGGGGGGTCCGACTTGTTTTGTGAAGAAACCCGTGAGTGCGGCGCTTGTCACAGGCGGCGCTCGGCGTTTGCCTCAGCTCGTTGGCCTTGGGTTCCTCCAGGCGTGGCTTGTGATCCTCGGGGTTCCTCGCTTAGGTTCCTCGGGGGTCCTCGCTTGGGTTCCTCGGGTTCCACGCATGGGTTCCTACGCGATGTCAAGCAATGCAGAACAATCCAGAGCAATGCCAAGCATTGCGTCGCATTGCTTGGAACTTCAAGAAGACCTCCGATTGGGGTCGCGCCAGGCTCATCGATGACATGCGGCCAGGGGCCGCTTCTGTGCCCCAGGTGCCGTCGAGAAACGACCCGCGAGGAGAGACCAGTCCCACAGAAGGGGTACAAGGAGCTCTTGGAGCTCATGTGCCTATCAACCCCGAGACGGCGGATGCTTGGGCAGGGCGAGGAGGAGGGGGGGATGTTGTGACGTACACTTCCTGCGGGCCACGGCGCTGCAAGCTTGCCGTTGCGCGAGCGAGGCAGCAGGAGGCCGCGCGCGTGCCCGGGCGCTCTGGCGCCCCGCGCCGCCGCAGAGCGGGCTCCGCTGCCTCGCCGCCGGCCGGTGCGCCCTGGCCTGCGGACTCGAGGCGCGCGCCGCGATCCCAGAAAGCACCGCCTCGCCGCCGCACGTCTCACCAGTTTGAAGCATGTCCCTATCCCTGCGTTTGGCATCACCTCACCGCGATGCCGATCGTAAGGATTCCCTCAGTTTCTCACTGCACATCCCTAAGATTGTCCTTGCTTTTTGCTCGCCCATCTTAGGGATAGGGATAAGTTCGAGGCTCGTTAATGTCAGGGCCCATTTCGATCCCATCGACCCGGTTCGATGCCAGCTTCCGACGTCCCGATGTGGCTCGATGCTTGCGTGGCCCTTGGTGTGTATCCTGGCGCGGCCGCTCCGATGCGCTTCCCACTGCGTGCCGATGCGGGCAGGCTCAATGAGCACTCCCATCGATGCAGACTCGGGCCTCCTCCTCCTGCTCCTCCTCCTCCTCCAAACTCCTCCGGCGTGCGGCCAGCCCCTAGCTCTTCTGTTGCGATTCTTCTGCCAGCTTCCCATGGGTGGTGATTCGTTCCGTCGACTTGCCCTCCTCAGCTGACCGCATCCTGCCCCAAGTCGCCGCGACCAAGCAAGCAGCGGGCCAGGCGGTTCGATCAGCGGCTCAGCGGCTCGATCCGATCCGGTTCTGACGTTGCAGATCCGATGCGGTCCGATTCTTACGCAGCGCTCTTGTGTATTCTGGTGCAACCGACCCCATTCGATTTCGACTCCGTGGCGATGCAGCCCGATCCGACTCGCGTTCCGATTCGAACTTGTTCCCCGATTCGATGCTGACCGAGCTTGCCGCGTACCCAGCGGACGCACAAATACTTTGAGCACGCGGTATCACGTTGGCTTCCACTTTGTTAACAGCAAGCCGTGCCTTCTCCTGAGCTGCATGGCCGTGGGTGGATGCACCCAAGCCTCCTGTCATGCGTTGCTGCAGTAGCAGGTGCGGCACCCCTGAGCCAACTCTCGGCCGTGGCGTGCGTGCAGGCACGCAGGTTTGGACGATAGGCCCCGCCGCACGACTTGAGCACGACGGGGCGGCAAGGTCCTGGCTCGCGCCCGGGCGTGCACTGGGGGGTCCTCCCCACGTGCCCCCCCCCCCCCCCGACGCACGGCCGTCAGCAATGGAGGACTGCTGACGACGACAGTGGGGACTGCTCCCCAATCAGTGCTCGCACTGAAGGGGTCCTATAGCGGAAGTTGAAAGGGTCGGCGAAAGCTTCCCGCCGATCTTGGTAGCCGGCTGGGTTCCCCGGCTCCCGGTTCCGGGCTCGACGGGTTCCCGGTCATTGGCTCTGGGCCGGTTTCGGTGGGTTTGGGTTCCCGGGCTCCCGGTCGATCTCCTCAGCGGAAACCATCCACTGATTGGGGTTGTTCTCTGGTGACTATTCTGATTCCGTGGAGCAGCCACTGGTGCTGCTCATCACGCTCTTCAGGCCGACCAGGGTGGAGGCAAGCCGTGGAGCAGGTGCTGCGGCCCACGGCTACCGCACGCGCGGGGGACGGTGGTGATGATGACCATCGAAACAAAGGAGAGAGGACTAACGAGGAGGATAATCACGACGACATGGCGAACATAAAGGGTGGGAGGAACACGATGACGAAGAATGCCAGGGGGATGTGTAGGAAGGGGGCTCGGTAAGTGCGGAATGCGATGAGAGCAGAGAGGAGAGGGAGAGGGACAAAACGAGGAAACGGCTAGCAGGATGACGAGAAAGGTTGTGAGTGGGCGGAGTGGAGTCACCCTTGAGCCGGGCCCCCCCTTTGCAGCAACCCAGGCCCTGGCAGTGCACCGAAGGCGTGGGGAAGCAGTGCACGGAAGAGGTGAAGGCCTGTTCGAGATTGTGTTGGGATTGCGCCGAAGCAAACGTACATATTCAGATTGCATTTGCAGGTGTGCGGTAGTAGTGGCGTATTCTAGCTGGTCAGCGTTCGTGCAGGAAGCAGCTGTCGCATAAGCCACCACCAGGAACTATGATTAGTGGTAGTAGTGGTAGCCGTGGTAGTGATGGGGCAGCAGTGGTAGTAATGGTGGTGGTGGCAGTAGCAGTGGGCGCCCTCGAGGGGCTTGTGGTGCTCCAGGGTTACCGCGTCGACCGCGGCGGTGCACTGGCACTCCGCCAGGCCGGTCGCTGCGGGGTCGACCCTCGCAGCAGAGGCGTCGGCGCGAGCTGGAGCAGCACAGTGGGCGGCGATGGTGCGACTCCGCCCACAGCGGGCGACGGCCCTCCAGCGCTGGAGGCGGCAGTCTACGTCGACGACGTCGCCACTGTGCAATGGCCTTGCCGCTGTTTGAGCAGGGGGCTCGCTTCTCGACGAGGATATCAAGCCGTCCTCACTTTCGTTGAGTAGTGTGAGGCTGCGCCGTTGTGCTCCTTCGTGCGCACGTGGACCTGTCCAAGGCACTCGATTAGGCCATTCACCTCATTGCTGTGCATGTCCAGTCGCGCACCTGTGCAAACTCGGCGTTGACCGCCAGCAGGCGGCCTTGATTATGAAGTTTCTGTCTGAACATGGTCCGCTCACGCGGCAGGCGGGGGCGTGCGACGAAATCCTGCGCCTCAGGTCGTACTTACATTCCAGCAGCTGGCTGAATTGCGGTGATCTGCCTCATGCCATCAGCCTTCGTCTTGGGGGGGGGGAAGGGGTGCAAGTTTACAGCAGCGCCATGCTCGACGTGCCTGCTCTGCCGGCCTCCTCCTGCTTCGCCAGGTCTTGGCTGACGCCGGGAGCGTGCTCTCAAGCGGACGCCCCTTGAAAGACAGAGCCCCGCCGCGCGCGGGCGTCCTGCGAGCTGCACCTCGTGCAGCACCTCGAGCTTGGGACAGGCCCTGAGACCCGGAGGTACACGACCTCGCGCCAAAACCTTTGCATTGCTTTCCTCCCTGCTTCGCAGGGAGCGTGCTCCGCCTCTGGGGCCGCGGCCCCGACTTCCTCGCCTTCGGCACTCCTCTAGCCTGGGCGGCGGGCGCCCCCGCGGCTCCCGCCGAATCTCTGAAAAGGTGGACGTGGCCCCTGTGGGCGCCGAGCGGCTGCTGCTGTGCAGGAGCTCTGCCCAGCAGCCCGACGCTGCCCTCGAGGTGCTCCTGGACTCGCCCGCCGGCATCCTCCACGCCCCGCGTCTCGAGGCGAGCGGGAAGCCAGGCAGGACCGCCAGCAGCCTGTCTTGCAGAGGCCGGGGTGCCGCCGTTCGTTGCCAATCTTGTCGCCTTCGGCCAGGGTGCACCCTCGGCGTCCGCATGCCCTTGTGCGGCGATGCCACCGGCCAGGTGCCACAGTTACAACCACCTTGGCTTCGTGGCAGACGTGGGGGGCCAACAGCGTGCCAGAGGCTCGCGCCCGCAGCGTGGCCGCGGCCGAGCGGCCCAGCCCCCCCTGGCCGTCTGCGTCTGCGGCAGCGCGGTGCTCCCTCTCGACTGCCGGCGGAGCCTCCTGCCCCAGACCCCCGACGTAATGATTTTTTCATCACGTCGACCCTCAGAGGTTCCGACCCTTTCCCCAGGACCGGCTTGGCATCCTGAGCCGGTTTTTGACGCTCCCGAGGCCCGGTGAGGGCCCCCGGAGGCCGAAAATTAGGAAAAACCTCCCGTCATGATTTTTTCATTACTCGAGGGGGTCTGGGGCGGTCTTGGGTGCTCCCCGGCTCGTGCTCCGCACTTCGCGCTCGCGTCCTGACCGTCGCCCCACCACGCCGGTGATCCACGCCGTGCGCAGGCGTCGCCTCTGGCGCCCGGCCGGCGCGCGCCTCTTCTCGGAGGGCCCCAACTATACACCAACACCGTTGCTGGCCAGGATCACCCTGGGCCCAGGATCGGTGTATACGCCCTCCTGCCTTGGAAAAGAAGGCATATACACCGATCCTGGGCCCAGGGCGATCCTGGCCAGCAACGGTGTTGGTGTATAGTTGGGGCCCTCCGAGAAGAGGCGCGCTGCCTTCTACGACGGGAGCTCGAGGCCCCACCGGTCGACTGCGCCGCGTGCGGCGCGCGGCTCTCCGGCCCGGGCCGTCCTCTGCGGCATGCCTCTCTCGGGAGGAGAAAAAACACACAGACGCCATGAATCGCCCACTCCCAGGAAAATGTGGGAAAATATGGGAAGTGGGGGGGAAGGCAAAGACCCCGAAAATATGGGAACATATGGGGGATCTTCTGATTTGTGTGTGTGTGTTTATTTGTGTGTCCCGGGGCCCCTTCACTCTCCCGAGCTTCGCGCGCTGCGGGCTCGCCAGGCCAGCCTTTCTCCAGCTTGCCGCGCGTGCAGCTCGCCGCTTTTCGTCACTTGCGATCTCGAGCGGGCGAGGAGCACGGCTGCTCCGGGCTCCTGGGCTTCCCGGCCCGCGGGTCGGCTTTCCTGTGCCGATTCGGCTTGCGATGCGAGGGATGCCCCTGCTTACCAGCCTCGAACGTAACCCTATCCCTAAGATTGACACGCCAAAAGGCGATGACAATCTTAGGGATGCGCCCTCAAAAAATAAGGGAATCCCTAAGATTGGCATCGTGATGAGGAGGTGCCCAGCATAGGGATAGGGATATGTTCCAGGCTGGTAAACAGCCTCGGCTCAGCTCTCCCAAATTCGGTCACGCGCCAGTGCCAGTGCCGCGCAGCGCTTCCCACGGGTCGGACGCTGCAGTCCTGCGTCCCAATCAATCGCGGCATCGAAGGCCCCTCAGCGCATGTTTTGCCCCGCCGATGCCGCCTGCCAGTTGTGCGAGACGTCTACCCGCTCTCGTTCGTGCCTCCTTGCCCGCTTGTGCGATAGCAGGCGCACCCGATGTTGGGATATCAATGGGCATGGTCGTCCAGATTCGTCAGCTTGCCAGCTGCTTAGTGCAATGTGTTGGACGTACAGGTTGCACTCATGCTCTCGCAGCTGGCAAGGGTGTTGTAGCGTCAGGCTGGGGGATCGGCGTAGCCAGGCTGTGATCCCACGCGCCTTTGTCCCATCATCCAGGGGTACTTTTGTATCTGCCCATCCATGTCTATGTATATCAAGGGCATCATTATTTGCATCGCTATAGTATGTCTCTCCCTGACCCTTTCTCTCTCTTTCCCTCCCCCTTCTCTCAGCATCATGTTACACGGTCCTTTGGCTTAGGCTCGATCTGGCCTAGGCCTTGATTTCGATGTGATGCTCGTTCTTCCCCCTTCCCCTCGCGTTGTCCCCCGGGAGGCGTCCGGGGACAAACGGGATTGTGATGCACGTTTCGGTGCAGCTGTTGTCGGTGACCTCGCAGGGGGGCCTGTGGACTCGTGAAGGTCACCGGCGGTTGGTCGCATCACCCTCCAAGGTTCTGGTTCCTGTGCCCCGGGCAGGGCCTCCTGGATCATGTCCTGGAGAGGCTTCATGGGAACATGTTTTTTGTGCTGGGGGAGGCCTTCCGCATCATGTTCCAGGGGAGGCCTCCGGGAACATGTTTTCTTTTGTTCCGGGAGAAGGCCTCCCGGATCACGTCCCCGGAGAGCCCTCTGGGAACATGATGCCTCGGAAAACCCGGACACTTGCTTGCGTCCACCTCTTCTTCAGGGGGCGTCGCTCGGCCGCAGAGGGGCCGTAAGGTCTTGCTGCGATTGCGATCGCACGTGCATGCGCAGCCCCCCTGGCTCAAAGTTTTCTGATCCATCCCGTTGCCATCCACCACCCTCTGCCCTCGAGCTCGAGGGTTGCTGCTCCAAGCTTGGGGCTTGGAGGGCTTGATCCCCCATTTCGGGGCTCCTTGTTTGGATCTGTGTTGGGGTCTTGTATCTTGAGTTCAGGGGGAGGCTTGGGCGGCAGTTCGGCGCCTGGGATTTGTTCTCCCCTGTCCGTTGTGGAGAACGACATCGATCTGAAATCTCTATCGTCATCTCCATTTATCTCCGCTACAAAGCAAAATATTTCTCTGTCTCTCTCTCTCTCTCTTTCTCTCGCTCTTTGTCTCTTCCTCTCTCTCTCCCTCTCTGTCTCTCTCTCGCTCTTTCTCTCGCTCTCGCTATCGCCCTCTCTCTTTCTCTCGCCCGCTCGCTCGCTCGTTCGTTCTCGCTATCTCAATGTTTCTCTCTCTCTCTCTCTTGTTCTCCCTCTCTCTCCCTCCTCCCCCGCTTGCTTTATCTATCTCGCTTTATATGTTTATCTCTGTCATTGTCTCTCGCTCTCTCTCCCCCTCGGATCTCGATCTCTCTCTCTATTTTTTCTCTTTGTCTCTGAGTCTCTTACCTTAAAGGTCGAATGGTTCGGGGGAGAAGGAGAACGCACATGAGGCACGAACAAATATTATAAAAAGATCGGGTGGGAAGGGACAAACAAAAGAAGGGCACATAGGGTGCTTGCAGAGGTGGCCGTGACCTGGGCCAGCCCTTTGCGAGAATATATTTCCTCATCTCCTCAAGGCCACTGCCATCATGCAGCACCGCTTTTGTTTTGATGTGGTTCGCTGGGTTTCCTCATGCTCCCATGCGTTGTAACAGTAGTAGAAGTGGTCGTGGAAGCAACCGTCGTAGTATTCTGGTTATAAGTACTAGTAGTATAGTCGTCGTGGCAGCTGCGGTAGTAGTAGAAGTAGTACTAGTAGTCATAATAATAGTAGTAGTAGTAGTAGTAGTAGTAGTAGTAGTAGTAGTAGTAGTAGTAGTCGTAATAGTAGCAGCAGCAGCAGTAGCAGTAGTAGTAGTCGTAGCCATTGTAGTAGTAAAGTAGTCGTAGCAGCAGTAGTAGTAGTAGTAGTAGTCGTCGTCGTCGTGGTAGTAGTAGTAGTAGTAATAGTAGTGGTAAAAGTAATAGTAGTAGTAGTCGTAGTCGTGGCCATAGTAGTGGTATTCGTAGTGGTCGTACTAGTAGTAGTAGTAGTAGTAGT